GAGAGCTTTGGTTCCTAGGAGTCTGAGAGGATGTCTTGTCCAGATACAGTTCGGTTTGCTGTTGGGCCTGCCGTCCGCATCTGCGGTCATTTTACTGGGCTGTGGGAAGTAAAAGCCGGCCAAACGAGGCAAGGACAGGTCACCCTCACCGTAGGTCGCACTATATTGACTGGGTCAGAGTGGGAAGGCCGCCCCAGATTCGCAGTGCTGAGGTGCCAGTTCTGCCACCTCATGTTTAGAACCTTTTCAGTCAGTCTGGCCTTCGCTTCCACCTGTGCGATGAGGGAGTGGGACACGTGGCTTACAGGCCCTGTTCCGCATGGGATGGCGGCCGTGGACACTGCACTGCTACCTTGAAATCAGGTGCGAGAGCACTTGGCAAGGAAAAGAAATAGGGGTTATTCGACCAGAGATAACTCGGTGCAATTTGAAAACCAATTCGGCAAGTTATCTGGCCGGTGTGTGAAAAAGCATCCTCCGTTTCCTGTGTTTTGTCGTTTTCTCTATCGCAGTGGCTCTGGGTTTCGGGTGGCGACCCATGAGCAGGTGGTAAAATCAGTTTAGGAAAAGGGAGCCGGTCTGTTTAATTAATGAGGCTAGAGAAGGATGGAAGACGTCCTAAGTGGGGTGGGGTGGCATATCCTTTTGTACTACTTGTTTCCGTTCTGAGATGTGTATGAAGGTGCAGTAGGTAGTAACACAGTGTTATCTTACTGTAGTTCGGAGTCAGCGGAAATTGGCTACGCTGCGGCTGGGTAGATAGCGATACTGTGTCTCCACATGTAACTATTTTGTGTACTGTTTCCTATCTTAGATAGCAATACTGTGTCTCCACATGTAACTATTTTGTGTACTGTTTCCTTCTGTAAAGATGAATGTAACTTACAAAGAAAAGCGAAACACAGGCCTAGGCTCAAGTGACACCTGCGTGACCAACGTTGCCAGGTGTCTCCTCCTCACCAGGTTCAGTTTCTTCAAGTATTCAACAGGAGTAAAAAAAAAAAGAAAAAAAAAATTAAAAGATAAATAAATAAATGCATGTCCTTCCTCCCTTGCAGGGTTCTCGTGAAATGGAACGAGAGGAAGGGAATGGAAGGCGAGCCACCAGCCATCCAGGAACCTGGGTGTTCTCGCCCAGGCCTCACGATCCAGAAGACGGTCGAGTGTTTAAAATTATTGACCAATGTGAGCGTGTGCGTGTGTGTGGTTCCTTTTTCTCCATGACGATTGTAATCCGTGCATATGTCAGTTGATGGTAGTCTTGCTAGTATTCACGTCCTTCTGGTTGATGCTATTAACAGCTGTGCGTCCGCTCGTGGGGCTCTGATCTAAGAGCCCTTCGTGTGGACGAAATTCTCTCTTTTCATCCTCACAGAGATCCTGAAGTGAGTGTGGTTGTGACATGAGACACGGAGCTCCGGGTCTTCTCTCCTGGTCCCTCTCCCTGGCCCTGCCCCGCACCACGCGCCCTCACCCACTCCCCTTTATAGCGGAGAGGACTTTAGATTACGCGTCTGTTTCCCATTTCCTTCCTCTCCTCTGCCTTCCTCCCTCTTCTTCCCGTCTTTCTTTATGCACTTCACTCTCTGCCCCCAATCACACCCCAATCCTCTGTCGTCTCCCCTGCCCCACCAAAATCCCGTCAGCAGGGCTGAATTCTGGTCTTTGGGGATATGAAAACAGAAATCTCTCCCAGTTCATC